CATCAGTCATAACTTCATGAAAGGCAATGTCATGTCAAACAATGTCTAAAAGCATTATTGGGCTCAAATACCGTTTAGCCAGATCCTGCAATGACATAAAACAATCTTGAAGGAAAATTCAGAAGTCAACATCAGCTAGGACACTTTGATTTCATTAAATAATGGATGTGGCATGAAATCACAATGGGTAGTCCTCATACAGTGAAGTTGCAGAAGCATGTTAACATAATAACTCCGGTCAATATTCACTCACTTAGGGTCCATAGAAAGTTTGAAAGGGAGATATATAAAACATAATCAACCTTGAAACAAAGACATGGTCAACAGGTATAGCAGCTGTGTGATGGGAAAGCATGGGAAGATAATTCATGGCAGCTCTACGTACTGCAGCCCCTTAGCCACGTTTAGCCACTGTGGAGTTCAAAGTTAGCAGCTTCCCCACAATTAAAACTAGATTGAAGAAGAACAGCTATAGTAATCAATGAACTAAATAAAGATGAAGAGAGGGAAAAAAAGAGATTATAGAGAAATTCCAGCGTAGCAGTCACAAGATTGTGTATGAACAGTGGTTATAACGTTCCAAACTCTACGGGCACGTATAGATTTTTTCCAAATACAGTATAGAAGAACAGTAAATGGTAAACAGAACACTATATTTAAACATGAATGTAAAAAGCACATCAGGCTCATGTAAACAGAAGATCGTTTATTTCTAATAGCAATGGAATGAAAGATCCATACAACATCTTCTAGCATCAAGTATAAACCTCAATAACACTTTTATCCAACCAATTTCTTATGATGACAGCATTAATGAGTAAATCTTTGTAGAAGTAAAACAGTGAAGCAATATTATGCACGAGATAGGCCAATCAAACAGCTTTTCTGACTTGTACTGTTAAATACCCATCAGTTAGAGTTCAGGAACTTGTGGCGTCCGATTATCAAGAAAAGTCCAAGCCATGATCATGCACATACGTCCACTTAAAATTGTATTTTGATAGACTAGCAGTATACACTAAGGAGTTACAGTTTATATTAATAAAGGTCAATGACCCTGATTGTGACCAAAATATGTTATCGTAGACTTTGGCAGAAATGGTACACATAGAGTTTAGTACGTCAGTCTCTATCTTCAGTTTATCTACAATGCAAATTTCGAGGCAGCATCCCCCATAAATAGGATGATAGTTAGAAACATACATGGACCTATTCAAAACCCTCTATAGTCTAGTGGCCAAAAGTTAGAAAAGAGTCAACCATACAACTTTCCCTGATACACAGATGATTAAGAAAATCCTTGCATTTTTTTCCTACACACTACTTTAAGATGTCTTCTTCTCAAGAGATAATTACCTTGTTTTTGCATCTAAATAAAAGCTAGGCAATGAGGACACATCTTGAGCATTTTAATTATGTCTTTTACATCATAGCAATCAAATATGCAAAGGGATTTTGAATTCTTTAGCTTTAAGATTTGTGATATTCTAGAAAACTTGGATTCTATCCAAATACTTGTAGAACTTCCATATTCAATTTTTCTCAAAAATTAACATTTAATTTACATTACTAAGTGCCAGTTAGAGGCCATAGCAAAAATAATGTCCAAAAAGTTATTGTAAATATGCAAACAAACTGTAAAGCAATTACCGTGGCTGAATCTACATGGTAAGCCCTTGGAAAAGTCACAACAAATTCACCAGGATTCTGAACTAACCTAAAGGAGAAACCAGAATATCGTAAGTAACTTCAATAGTACCTTCGGCAGAAAACACCAAAGGCAGCCCCATTTCCACAAATCAAATTGAACCAGATTATGCATAAAATTCTTTTGGTCTTTTCACTTTTCAAATACAATTAGCCATCAAACAAAAAATATGTAAATCAATTGAAAAATTAAAAAAGTAACCCACTACAACATGGAATGCCTGATGCAACAATTACTTCAGGCGAGAGTAGAGTTGTCTTCTCACCAATAGAGAGAGAGCAGCTGAAAAAAAAAGGAAGCTGGATTTTAGCCAAACCAAAAAGATATAGAATAAATAATTCCAAATAATTTAAGATAGAAATGAAAAATTCCACTGAGAAAATGGGTGACCACACTACGGAATCAAGAATTACCTCCAGCCATTGAAACAAACTCACGAGCAGTATTTTGGATCTTCTAAGCTCTCAAGACACTCTATTGATGGTGTATTTTTCTATATATTCGAGTTTTGAGCTTAGGGACCAAAATAATATACATAGCCAAGCTTCCATCAAGCTCATAATGGCATTGCTTAATGGCTGCCATAAATCCCAAACGCTTGGAAACTGAAGCATTTGAAAACTGAACAAAGAACGTGGACCATCAACTTTAAAACTGATGAAAATCAAAACGTTATTTACGTTACTCATGTAACGTAAGTTTTACATATCAGAGATAAAAGCTTCACTCTTGGGATCCACTAGGGGATTATCTAAGGGAATGACGCGGTCGGAGGGGGACCAGGGGTTTGGGAAGACTTCGAGGAGGAAGATGGTGAAGGAGGGTGTAGGCAGGGACGTAACCACGATTCTGAGTCAGTGGATTCAAAACATCAAAATTGATTAATTTACAAGAAAATATGTACTGAAGTAATAAGCATAAAAAATGCTACAATCGTGTTCGATGATTTTTCATATTCTGAAAACGTTGCATAATTGCTTCATTGACAATTTCATCAAATATCTCTCTCTCAATAAATGTAATAAAACAATCATTTAACAATTGATCTCCCATTCGATTTCGTAGTCGATTTTTCACAATCTTCATAACAGAAAATGTTTTTTCAACACTTACAGTTGCAACAGGTAATATCAATGCTAATTTCATATATAAAAAGATAACAACAAAAACATCCTCCTTTTCTATACTATACTCCAACCAATTTGCATATTCTTAAACCAAACAGGATTAAAACAACACATTAAATTCTCAATTGCTCGCTTTTTAAAATTATGATTGTGTGGTTGGCAATGTCCTTTTCGCAAGTATGTCTTTCTCACTCTGTCTCTATCATTAGGATGATATTCTAAAAATTTAATCCTCAATCCAGGATCTGCAGGAAGACTACTCAAGTTAAGCTTAACATATATTTGTCTTGAACTAGATTCCATAAGCTCATTGTGAACATTATTGTGATGTCTTTTGTTTTGTTCATTTTATGGTTCCTCATTAGACAACTTTCTTTTGATAAAAAGCTTGTCCATAATTAAAAAAAATAAAAGAATTTTTATTATCAGAAATATAATTTATTTACAATTACAATTAAAAAACAACACAAATTTATCAAAATTCAACTCATAACTTAGGCTTTTCAAACAATTTCTACTAACCCAACAAATTTCAACTCATAAACCCATAAAAACTCATCAAATCTAACTCTAAATATCAAGCAATTAACCAATATATCGAAATTAAACCAAATTCCCAAATCCCTACAACTTAAGGTTTCATCAATTCTTTAAACCATATTCAAAATTAACTCAATAACTAACCACAATTTATCAAACCCAACTTAAAACAGTAATTAATTAACCCATATCTCAACATAAACAAGATTAAATCAAAACTCACATCAAAATCTAGGAATTATTTCAAACTCATTTATTAAACTCAATAAAAACTCATAACTCATGATCTTTCGTCAATTAAGAAAGCTAAAAGAAAAAAATTAATTTAAAGTAAAAAAATAAAAATAAAATTAGTATCATCTTATCTTGTAATCCAAAGGAGTAGCCTTTCTTGAGTATCCAATCAAAGGAAAAATATAATATGAAAGCAAAAGAGAGGAAATAAAGAAAAGAGGAAAGTTTAAAAAGTATTAATTAATAATTTATTTTGTGGGGTTAACATGAAGTTAAGTGGGGTTAAAATTGTAAAATCTATAAATTATTAATATTTTTTTGAAATTTTTAAAAAGTTTAGTGGGTTCAATTGAACCCAAAAGCCACTATGTGGGTATGTGTTTGGGTGTAGGGAGTGAAGTTGAATACTGTGGCGGAGAAGAGGTCGGAGAGGTGTTCGAAGACGGCCATTTGGTAGGAGAGACATGAGTATTGAGTGTAAGGGACGTAGGGGCGAGCAGTTTTAGGTACCCGCTCAAATTCAAAGGAATCTGAATTGGAACCTGAAACATAGGTTATAGTTTCAGGTACTTGGGATAATTTTGGTTACCCCCTACTTTTTAAAAAATTACAAATAAACCCTCTAAAAGTTATACACCACCAATAGTTTATAAAAGTTATAGTTTAGTCCTGATTTCTACCCAAATCTTGGTTTCGATTTCGATTCCTGCGGTGGTGAAATTAAAACCGGAACTGCACAGTACCGATTTCGATTTTTGAGAGTCGGACCAACTCTATGAAGGCCAACTCCGAGTAGGAACTGTAACTGGAACCTCGGATACTCGTTGATTCTGGTTCTATCCTAAAATAATGCTCACCCCTAGGAGGGAGGGCTCTGGTGCTGAGGTTGGTAAAGCGGAGTCCGCCACTTTTCTTGTTGGAGATGAAGAGTTAGGGATAAATGAGCTAGACGTTTCAGGCGGGAAAACGACATAAAATATTCCCCCTTTTTTAATTTTGTAACACATGAAAGGGACTGTTTTCCTTTGTGGATGTTGAAATACATCTTTGGGTTTTAGAGATGTGTTCTGTTTTTGGCTATAGGATGGATTTATACAAAAAAAATCGGATTAGTACATCAAAAAATTGTTTTTTTTTTTTAAATTATTTTAATAAAATGCAATTTCTCAAAATATATTTTTATGAAATAAAATTTTGAATACCAATATAAATAATCATTTTCTTTCGAATTATTTTTACATCCAACCAAGTTGACAATTTAAATAAAATAAAATAAAAAATTACATGTATTATTGAGCTATCTGGACTTCTCTAAAACTAAGAAAATGAAAATAATATTGAAGTAAAGACATCATGCGGGCATTAAGATAAGGAGTTAAAAAGTATCAAACAGATGAAAGAAATTGTCATTGAATTCATCTCCTGCTTTCGACACATTTTCAATTTCAATCTAGCAATTGACTCAAATCCCTCTTGGATCTTTCTTAAGAAGTCACAAATTTTGTAACAATCTGATTAAACAAAAGACTCATGTATCCTATCTTCAATTCTACAAAATGCCTGGCCTAAGATGCTCATCTAAAAATAAAACAGCATCAAAAGTTGAGTTTCAGAAAGATCAAGAATCAAAGAAGACTTTTTCAACTATTGCATTCAATGAATTGAATAATGCTCACCTACATGAAGGATCAGCCTAATCCTAAATCTATATCTGAGCAGAAAGTCAAGTTTATAGCACAAATTCTGCAGGCCAATTCGACCCCAGAATCTCCATTCAATATATCAATATATTACAAAACCTGCCTGATTACTAGCCTTCAGGTGGATTAGTTATCATAGTGCCCTGTTTTACGTCTATGTCGGCTAATATCAGACACAAACCTGAAAGAAAGGCCACAGCCCTCAACCTTGCACTTGTATGGCCGCTCTCCTGTGTGCACCCGTATATGCTCAGTCCTAGCCCATGCCCACTTGAATGACATGGAACAACCATTCCAGGGGCATTTAAGGGGCCGATCATCATCGTGAACTCGTTGATGAATTATTGCATATTTATGAGAGCTGAATCTCTTCCCACATCCGTCATGTGGGCATCGATTCCGTTTGTGCAAAGAAAGCTCTGTCTTTGTCTCAAAACTCATGCGACAGCCATCCAAGTCACACCTGTAATGCTTCTTTATGAACTTTTTCTTCTCCTGGCGAGGAACTGAAACATTTAAAGGTTTCTTCATTGTCTTTGTTGTTAGCTTTTCCTTGGCTACGGGGCTGATCTCAACCTCACTTCTGTTCGCTGTATCTTTCCCACCCCTTGGTCTCAACCCTTCACAAGGACTCCTGATATACCCACTGCAATTGGACTTGTTTTCAGTTAACTGCTCCACTTCACTCTTCCTTTTTTTTCCTTTACTGGCACTTGAACTGTGCTCTTCTGCAGTGGACTTGTTTTCTAACTCTCTTTCGTCTTTAGATGAAGAAGAAACTTCTTTGCTAATGTGCAATTTTTCTGAAGATGGGGACTCCCTACGGGTTCTGCAGTACTTCTGAATCACGGCAGGAGCAGGTTGGTTTATCCGTGTCAAAGAACTAGCTTTCTCCTCGTTAGTTGCATTTGCGGTCTGAGCCCTTTTCAGCAGTTGATCTTTTCCCACATTACCGCTTGAGTTCTCTTCAGAACAGATCCCATTTGGCAGTTCTGAACATTCTTCTACTGAGGCAGGGATAAGATAATTTTCTTTTCTCTGTAAACTGGAAGAGCAGACAAGCTCATCCACATTAGTTTCAGTTGTAGACTGAATTTCTGGATGCATTTCAGAGCCGAAGGTCACATCAGCACAGGTAGCTCCTGGTTTTCCAGAACATCCTTCCACTGAGAGAGAGGAAGGCTGCATCTGTGTGATAGTACTCGTTACAAGTTCCTCCCCACTTCCACTTGTAGTAAGGACATCCTGCTCTGGAGCTTCTTTCATCGTAGTCTTAATTTGGCACAAGTCTGCAGCAGCACATTCCTTGGTTGGGGCTTCAGAACTTTCCAGCGAGATATTAGTAGACTGATCCATCAGTATAACAGAACTCGACAAGTGTTCCTCATGAGTCCCATTCATAATCTTGATTTCATTGTGCACGTTATCATCTAAAGACACTTGATTCCAAGTGTCTTCGGCAGCACATATTTGCATCTGATCTTCACAATTTTCTTTTGTTGAGGCAGGAGTGGGCTGATTTATCAGTTTATCATCCCAGGAAATGGATTCCTCATCATTGTTTCCATCAGCTGGCTTCATATCTTGCACCAGTTCATCCTTAGAAGTCATACAATCATGTGCATTACTGTTCATATAAAAATTATCAAGAACCTTGTCCTCCATCTCTGTGTCAAAACTCCCCAGAGGTGGATGAGCAACATGTAAACTTGGTGAATTAGCAGGATAAGAGACCTCATTCACAGAGACATCCTTATCAGCCAATAGATTGTACGGAGTTTCAGAAGCTAGATTACAAGTCTTATTGGTGATTTTGATATTTTCCATGGTCGTATCATCAGCTGCATTGATATGTCCACCAGAACATTTCTCTGCAAAAGAAATTCCCTTCTCACTGACCATGTCAGTGTCCTTGATGATTTGTCGTGTCTGATGATTATTTTGGATTGCCGTATAACACATTTCATCGTCCAAAGTTTCAGTGCCAATCTGCCCAATATTATCAACCACTAAAGTAGCAGCTGCAAGTGAATCTGCAACTCGTGAAGGTGAGTAATTCAAGCTCACATCCCTGGTTGCATCAAGCACCCGAATTTCATGTAGCCCTTCAGAGTTCCCGATGTGAGATAGTTCCAATCCAGCAGAAATACTTCCAGTATGCCCAATGTTGCATGGGTTAATTTCAGAATTAAATTTATCATGCTTAACCAGATCGCCACAAATAGCAGCTGAAACTTCTTCTGGTAAAAACTTTTTAGGGTGTCCACAAACTCTACTTGCTTCTGGTTTTAACCGGAATTTCCTTCTTGAATATTGAATTATTTTTTCTTCTTTTTCAACAACGCCATCTAACTTTTCTCCCAACACTTCATCTGTTTTTATTTCAATATTGTGGCATGTTTTGGATTTGGCTGGCTGATTTAGCTTAACTTTTGAGCGAGATTTTCTGGACTGCCATTTGATATTTGAGAAATCTGAACTGGCACTCTTTTCAGAAAACAAACCACCCAATGACAACGCATGCTGAACTTGCTTAGATGGTGAATTCTTCCTGACCTTCACGCAGTGTCGTAAGTTAACTCCCAGTTTAGAGGTCCAGTCTTCACTGCATTCATCGTGTTCTTCATCATCAACCGCAAGATCAATCAACTGTAGATCTTCTTGGGAGGCAGTATCTAATGGAACATCATTATAATTGAAAGGGCTACCAATCTCCTCAGCAATAGCCACAGCATGTGCTTTTATTTTCTGGTAGTCTACATATATACATATTCAAAAAAAGAAATGTTATAAAATTGACAGTGCAAATCTGAGAACTAAGAAAAAGTGCTATACTTGGAGAGTAAATAATGAATGAGTACAAAGCATAATGACTAACCAAACAATGGAATGATATGACTATGAAACAGCAAGAAAGTTGAGTGTATCATAATGACTATCTCACCAGAGTGGCAAACGACCAGGATGTTTGCTCCACCTTTAGACCGGAATATCTCTTCAATTTGAACAGCATGCTCCAGGCAGAAAATCCGAGGACGCAGATATTTACTAGAAGTGTTCCATCTCTTGTTGAACTTGGTTATTGATGATAATGCCAGATCCTTTTGAAGCATAGAACTATCAGGACCAGCAAAAAGATCCTCTGCAAATAAATAAAGTAAGATGCAACTCTATTCAGCAACTTGGTGAGCCAGCAGGTGATAATCAGATAGATATTGAACCAATAAATTAATGAGAAGTCTACTCCAACATTGACAAATGCTTTCATCATATTACTTAATATCTACAAGTAAAACAAAAGATTATTGAAATGATGTAGTAATTACTGCAGGCATTTCTTTCTATCATAATTAGTCCTTGAGTTTAATGACTGACAAATGTAAGTGGAGAATCACCAGACACACAAAAGACACCATGAGACCTATTATGAGGCAATGTTACAACTTCTTAAGGACCTTGAAACATTCTATACGTCCTAAAACATCTTTTATTCCATCCTATGCATTGATTCTAGCTAGAAATATATAATCCAAATGTCAAAATGACAACTCAGTATTACAAAAAAGGGGAAGAAGAAGTTGGTGAAAATAACACAAAGTTACCAGACAAGGGAGCCAAATACCTGAAACAGAGCTCTTAGTTAGATCCAGGTCCATACAGGGATGACTGTTTTTAGGTTCTGAAATTCTTGGACCCTCTTGAACAAAATCAGCAGGCAGAAATTCCATTGATGCCCTCTCAGATGGTTGTACCACAGACATAAATGGAAAACCCAGAATACCACAAGCCACACATGCCAATGCCCCGGAATCAATTTGAAAATCAGACGATATGTCATCATCATCCATATACAAATCATTCAGAGTTTCCATATATAAGTTCATCTCATCTAGGAGATTATTCTGATTAGTTTTTTTCTCAGAATGAATATCTGAAACAGTTGCTCCTGGTGTTGCAGTAACAGCATCGGTTGCAGTGGGCAACTGAGATTCCCTACTTGAACATGGAAGTAAATCTGGGTTCCACAGTACAGCATAAGAAGTTGATTCTTGTCCAAGAAGAGCAGACAAAGTGTTGTTCTCTTTTAACATATCTTCTATAAAAGCCTTCTTTATTAACAACTCTCTTTCTTCCTTTAGCCGATCTCTCAGGCGAGAGCTCCGAGCACCTGGTAGTAAGGATCTCGGCACCCTGGCATCAAAACCAATCCAGCAAAAGAGATATGAGGAATAAACAATTATGTGTGATCGCTTACATCTTCACTATGACATAATCAGAGAAACACAACAGAAAATTATTAGTGTCATTCAGATTTCAGATAACCATCTCCCCAAAAACCATAATGTCCTGTATTGTAGAGACTGCTCTCAGAAATATTATATCCATTCAGCCCAATTGGAATTCTTTATATACTGAAATATCTCTCAAGTGATCAAGAGTGTTTGAACTAATATCAATAACAAATATGCCAGCCTTGAGCAACAAATAAGTCATAAATCAACAATTTGAGAGATACAAGAAATACCAAATATATGCAATCAAGCTACTTATGACAAGTAAAGAAATAACTGTTTCCACCTATGTACGTCAATCATGATAAACATTGGTATTTTTGCATCAGTCATAACTTCATGAAAGGCAATGTCATGTCAAACAATGTCTAAAAGCATTATTGGGCTCAAATACCTTGTTTAGCCCAGATCCTGCCAATGAACATAAACAAATCTTGAAGGAAAATTCAGAAGTCAACATCAGCTAGGACACTTTGATTTCATTATAATAATGGATGTGCATGAAATCACGAATGGGTAAGCCCTCATACAGTGAAGTTGCAGAAGCAATGTTAACATAATAACTCCGGTCAATATTCACTCACTTAGGGTCCATAGAAAGTTTGAAAGGGAGTATATATAAAACATAATCTAACCTTGAAACAAAAGACATGGTCAACAGGTATAGCAGCTGCTGATGGGAAAGCATGGGAAGATAATTCATGGCAGCTCTACGCACTGCAGCCTCCTTAGCCACGTTTAGCCACTGTGGAGTTCCAAAGTTAGCAGCTTCCCCACAATTAAAACCTAGATTGAAGAAAGAACAGCTATAGTAATCAATGAACTAAATAAAGATGAAGAGAGGGAAAAAAAGAGATTATAGAGAAATTCCAGCGTAGCAGCTTTACAAGATTGTGTACGAAACAGTGGTTATAACGTTCCAAACTCTATGGGCAATGTACAGATTTTTTCCAAATACAGTATAGAAGAACAGTAAATGGTAAACAGAACACTATATTTAAACATGAATGTAAAAAGCACATCAGGCCTCATGTAAACAGAAGATCGTTTATTTTCTAATAGCAATGGAATGAAAGATCCATACAACATCTTTGAGCATCAAGTATAAACCTCAATAACATTTTTTATCCAACCAATTCTTCTTTACTGATGACAGCATTAATGAGTAAATCTTTGTAGAAGTAAAACAGTGAAGCAATATTATGCACGAGATAGGCCAATCAAACAGCTTTTCTGACTTGTACTGTTAAATACTCATCAGTTAGAGTCATGAACTTGTGGCGTCCGATTTATCAAGAAAAGTCCAAGCCATGATCATGCACATACGTCCACTTAAAATTGTATTTTGATAGACTAGCAGTATACATCTAAGGAGTTACAGTTTATATTAATAAAGGTCAATGACCCTGATTGTGACCAAAATATGTTATCGTAGACTTTGGCAGAAATGGTACACATAGAGTTTAGTACCTCAGTCTCTATCTTCAGTTTATCTACAATGCAAATTTTCGAGCAGCATCCCCCATAAATTAGGATGATTAAGTTAGAACATACATGGACCTATTCAAAACCCTTCTATAGTCTAGTGGCCAAAAGTTAGAAAAGAGTCAACCATACAACTTTCCCTGATACACAGATGATTAAAGAAAATTCCTTGCATTTTTTTCCTACACACTACTTTAAGATGTCTTCCTTCTCAAGCAGATAATTACCTTGTTTTGGCATCTAAATAAAGAGCTAGGCAATGAGGACACATCTTGAGCATTTTAATTATGTCTTTTACATCATAGCAATCAAATATGCAAAGGGATTTTGAATTCTTTAGCTTTAAGATATTGTGATATTCTAGAAACCTTGGATTCTATCCAAATACTTGTAAAACTTCCATATTCAAATTTTTCTCAAAAATTAACATTTAATTTATCCATTACTAAGTGCCGGTTAGAGGCCATAACAACAATAATGTCCAAAAAGTTATTGTAAATATGCAAACAAACTGTAAAGCAATTACCGTGGCTGAATCCTACATGGTAAGCCCTTGGAAAAGTCACAACAAATTCACCAGGATTCTGAACTAACCTAAAGGAGAAACCAGAATATCGTTAAGTATAACTTCAATAAGTACCTTCGGCAGAAAACACCAAAGGCCAGCCCCATTTCCACAAATCAAATTGAACCAGATTTATGCATAAAATTCTTTTGGTCTTTTCACTTTTCAAATATCAATTAGCCATCAAACAACAAAAATATGTAAATCAATTGAAAAATTAAAAAAGTAACCCACCTACAACATGGAATGCCTGATGCAACAATTACTTCAGGCGAGAGTAGAGTTGTCTTCTCACCCAATAGAGAGAGAGCAGCTGAAAAAAAAAGGAAGCTGGATTTTAGCCAAACCAAAAAGATATAGAATAAATAATTCCAAATAATTTGAGATAGAAATGAAAAATTCCACTGAGAAAATGGGTGACACAAATACTCATATTTTCAATATGATTTGAGACTGGATAGTAAATTAAAAAACCATTCAAATTTCTCAATCACCATATAACAAAAAAAAAAAAAAAGAAAAAAAAAAAGTTGACTATTTAGGTCCAGAAGTAATCACCCAACATGATTAGGCTCCTATATCAGGCAGCAAAAATTCAAGATTGTACCAACATCTCAAATAACTCAACAAGGTCATTTACTTGCGTGTGCAGTCATATCACATACTTCTATCCAAATATTTGTAAAACAAACTTGAGCAACAAACATCTGAATATTACCCCTTGTAATGCTTAAACTTTTGGATATAAAATTCACAATGAAAATTTGACATACCTAAACAGTCAATATTACCACCATAGACCTCATTGCGAATAACTTCCTCAAAAGTAAACGCATAATCTCCTGGGACAGAATACCAAGTCTTTGGAGCGCCAGTGTGAAGAAAGTTCATGCTGTGAAGTTCATGATCTTCAACGTGCCATGCAAACCAGCTGAACAACATACCAATATAAACCATAGGAGAAGTAACACCAGGGATATCATCTGGCATGAAACGGGTCAGTGAACCGGGTGACCGTGCAATCACTTGCAGATTCCATGGACTATTTGCAAGCTTCCAACCCGCTGTACCTTCCAAATCATTACTACCATTTACAATCTTTCGTCTAGAAGATTGTGAATTTTCATCCAATGAGATAGTTGAAGAAGTTGTAGACAAGTTGGATGTATCTAAACATTTACTAGCATCATTATTAACATAAGCATCTCTAATGTCATCATTATGGGTATTATTTACACTGCCTATTTCATTGTTCTTGCAATCGGCTTTTCCTCTATTCCGATAAGATTTCCAAGATTTCATCTTTCTCCTCCGTCTATGAAAATACCGAAACTGACCCTCCGGTTCCCCAAAAGCTGACCCAGGCACATCATTTGCATACTCCACATATATAGGCTTCTCTGAAGCTAACTTCCAAAATAATGCCTCTATAACCGATGGTGAAACCTCCTTAATCATACCCAATAAACTTCGAGCAAAACCCTTCGACTTTGACTCAAACTGTTCCAACGTATAAACTGCTCCACTTTGCCACACCTGCTTATGCACACCCAATTGCGGATTATCATTAACGACCCCTTTTGTTCTTTTCACACTCTGTCCCAACTCCTGATGTCTAGTTGTAAAAACTGCCCTAACCTCCCCATCATTGCCACTGTCACTAGAACCTACTTTCGGCACATCACCAGCATTTGGGAAATTCCCATCAGAACCCAAGTCCGGGCACTTCAAAAGCGACTTATTTAAATTACCAAAAACATATTTTTTTGACGGTTTTGGCAATGGTGGGATAATTTTACATATACCAAAAGCACTAGCTTCCTTCTCAATTCTTGATATATAAGCAATTGGGTCAGCAAATTCAGTATCAGTTGGTCGAAAGACCGGTGCCAATGGCAACCCTTTTAGCCAAGTGGGAATTTCCACATTATTATTATTATTTCCCATCTACAACAAACAGAGATTCACACCTACACCATCAATACAACCACCAAAACAGCATAATCTTGTAACATTGCTTAACCTATTATCAATGTTACAACAAAACACTAAGTGGGTATTGAAAATGAAACCCTAGAACACAAATTGAATACAAATTCCACATGGGTTTGTTCTGTTATAAACAGAAACTACCATTAAACCAGAAGAACTACCAATACAACAGAAATGTAAACAATAAATAACAGAACCTGGTAAACGCAAGAGACTTTTGAGGTGGTTTTGTCTTCAAAAGAACCAAAGCCCAAGAGAGAGAGAGAGAGAGAGAGAGAGAGGGGTTTTAGCTTTTAGCTCACCTAGGTTATGGGCAACGTTCTTACACGGCGCAAAATAGCATTCTATATGGAAAACAGACTAGTATGCGCTGATAGGATTCGGCGCACCGATTCATTTAACTGTTTGTGGACCGTATGATTTCGGTTCGGTAGAGTGGGGGGATTTTGCTCTGCGAAAGCGTGGAATAAAAAAATAATGATAATAAGGTAAGGTGTAGGTTTAGTAGGTGTACATGTAGCTACATGCGCATGTTAACATTGAGATGTGTGTAATTTGATGGAAAAGGACGTCTAGGGTGTATATCACTTATAGGGGACAGCATGATTTTATCTCTTGATCTTCATCAAGATCATCATATTCTTTGTTGTTTTCATTATTATTGTTGTTGTCTTTATTTTAATTGAGGAAATCAGTCAAATCACGTTAAGACGTTAAAGAGTACTTTACAATTATAAAGATTTAGATTAAATGCTTTTTCTAATGCGGTAATACCACTTAATTGTTAATAGACGGATACCCACTACCCAGTCAATTAATTATACGACTTTATAAAGTGATATTGTTTTTTGGGATGTCAACTTTGTATACATTATCATATCGTTAAATATTATAAAGGTAGACGGACGGTAAAATTTATGGTTGATTTGGAAAACCGATCTTGTAAGAAGCGAGTTATTGATAATCTGATAGTCATGCGCAAAGAGAAAGCACGAATGTGAAGGCTTAAGAGACATAGTGTGGTGTTTGTCGTGTGTATTCTGACACTCAAGTCAGCACAAGTAAAGATATTTTAGTGATAGCTGAGAGCAAAAAAGGGTTTACCATAATGTGGCTAGGGCAAGGGCAAGAGAGGCTAGTAAATTTAGTCGGAACTAAACTTTAAGCGAGGAAAGACGTGGTTCTAAGCAATAATTTAGAAGTTAAAGCTATAGGTTATTTATGAATCAATAATGAGAGGCTAACTCCTGTTTATATAGTAACCAGAATTTGGAATCTTAATAGACTCTGATCCTACTTGGTAGAGGAGTCTGAATTAGGAATGAAATCTTATTACTTGCCTTTATCGAATTATGACTACTAATTCAAGTAAGATCTGGGATCTTGACTGAATTGAAAACAAATAGGATTCTGATTCCTATTTGGGACGAATGTGGCTAATGGATGGCGCCCTTAATCTAGAAAACCAACTCATGGAGTAGCCCAAGGAGTAGTTGGCCTAGTTTGGGGTGACCCTGCTTGTAAAGAGACTCAACTCGTAAAGTACCCACTCGGGAGAGGGTTGACTCGTGGTGTAGTACACTTTAGATGGGTTAGCCCAAGAATGTTTCTTCTTACAAAAATGCATCACATAGGATAGTCAATCCCAAGATGAATTTAAGCGTAAACCCAACGAAATTGGGCTAAACCTAATCGTAATATATTTATTTCGTTATTGGGTCTGACAAGGTTAAATACGTTTTTTACTCATACAATAAATTTATTATTGTTTTTTAAAAAGATTAATGTCAATCAAAGATTAGAATAATGAAACTTGACTATATTTCACTTATAAATCTATGATTATAATTGCAAAATCATGGTATAAAATTATCATTAACACATATTTATAAGTATATATTTATAATTTTATGAATTTTATGTATTAATATACTTGTATAATTTAACTATATACTTTAATAAAGTACAATGAAATTTGAGAATTACAAACAATAATATCTTATGTTATGAGTTACAAACAATTAATTAAGTAACTTCTATTTTATATTTATTTTTACGTAAATCTTTATATACCAAAGGCATTGACTAATTTTAAAAGTTTCTATCAAATAATTTATATAAATGTAGACTTAAAAGGTATACAATTAGGAAAAGGGACACCGAATGCCTAAATCAAAAGAAGATGAGCAAAAGTAACTTTAACGGCGGTGGTGTCGGCCAAATGCACTCCAATGCTCATTTTATTATTAATTAAAAATTACAACTTTATCATGGTTAAAATTACTAAACAAGACATAAAAGAGTTATACATATCCAGAAATTTTATTTCCTTTCTCAATCATAAAGCCAATTCAACCTTAGGAGTATCGATTGAAGACTTCTCCCAGAAGATGAAAAAACCAATGGAATGATGAATTCTTGAGTTCGAATTAAAGACCGCATTCTGATTCCTATTATTTGAGGTGGGTAGAGATAAATTCATGTATATTTACTGGTTGGTTGGGATGTTATATGAATTCATGATATGTTGCCAGTGACTCAGGATCCTGGATTACCAGTTGGGTGAGAACTCTAATGACTACCCTTATTAGCAATTGATAAGGAATTCAAACTCAGACCTCTTGAATAATACACTAAAAATCTATATCAACTACTCGACCACCTAAGATAGTTCAAACTATTATTTAATGTTTTCATATAGAAATCACAATCAATCAAATGTGTTTTTTTGTAAATTTTCTTTAAGTAGTAATTAGATCTCTATTTGAATCCAAGTTTTAATAGAATACACAGTAGCATTACCTCTATTATTAGAGTTATTGACTTATTCATTAATCATTATATTAAAGCACATGTCAAAACCCTAATGCTAGATAGATTCCATAATTCATGTTTTCCAAAAATACTTCCACCATAACTTGAGCCCCCTATTCGCCCCCATCTTCTTCTGAACCACTAAAACCAAACTCTATATAGATATAATCAACACCTCTTTGAATATATCTCAACTCATCAACAAAAGCAAAGACATCATCAAGAAGGAAAATGGTGATGAAAAGCAGAAGAAGCGGGTTGTTATTGATGTTCTTGGCATTGGGTGTGATGATTTGTGGGAAAATGAGTGAGCATTTACGCCAGAATGTATGGAGAATGCTTCCCCAGTGCAAGAACAAACCCAAGGAAGCGAAGCTGCTTGCGGGGTTGCCAACTTTACTGTAAACAAGTCGAAGGAAATGACAGTGGTGATGAAATTGGTGATTAACGTCGAGGCGTTGGCCTGGTTCAAGCAAGTTTATTTCTTTCTTTAGATTCAAACTTTGAGGTATCTACCACAATAACATTTTAATTTACTGATTTTTTTGTTTGTAAGATATTTAATAACTTCGAGAATTAGTTGGATGCACGCAAACTACGGCCTAGTATAAAAAAAATAAAAATAATAATTAGCTTCTGATCATATCTATATGCAATTGTCATCTCACATATATATTGTGATTATTTGTACAATATTTCTTGATGCAAACTATTAGTTAATAGTTGTTTTCTTCCTTAATTTGATTTTGTTTTCAGGCTTTAAGCAAAATATAGGAGAGATATATAGGTTGAATAAAAATTGTCTAAAAGTATCCCATATATATAATATATATAGAAAGTCATTTAAAGAGTTTACATTGTTAAACTTATTTGATGGAGGTAAAATCTTCATAAACAATAAGGAAAAGAAAAAAGCACAAAAATTAAGATCAGATTATTGAGTCGCATATGTTTTCAATTGCTTCCGATTTTGCAACTTCTGTTTTCAGTTCATATTTATCTATTGATGAAGCAGTGACTTTGCAATCTTGTTACATTCTCTTCATAAAACCATACTTCTTGAATGTATCTAAATAAGCCCCACTAGCCCCAAATTCCTCCACTGAATCACCTTACCTTCAATGCCTACATACTCTTTCAGCCCAGCCCATTGGGGAACCAGCCTCGACGTACCCCGCTTGTAACGCTCAACGGCAATACCTTCTCCTTAGTCCTTCGGCTGCCTGTCGAAAAGCCGCCAGCACACAAGCGAAACCACCCTCATCTTCTCCTTTCTTGCCTTAGAGTCTTGGCAGCCCGCTCACAAAGACATAGTTCTGTTCCAGTTCCATCAGTATGATCTCTGGCAAATCATTTCCAGAATTGTCGCTTACATGTACCCGCCTCTCCAACTTTTTCAGCCAATGTTCCTTCCAAATTTGCCGCAACTTTTGCCTTGACAATACAAGACACTAGGCACATCTCGACTACGATGGCCATTTTAAGCACCAGCAGTTTCATTCCTCCGCTGGTCTAAACTAAAGCCGCGGCACTGCTCTTAGGCCTGAGTTGTTCAACTGGCTGATGAGTTGGACCATCTTCTCCTAAACCGATTGAGTCGTAGTCATGATGTAGAACCCCAGCGTGGCTTAGAGCAGAAAGCCGAATGGATTCTTCATGTAATCAGAGAATATAGGAAAGTGGCCGCAAAGGGTATCAAACCACTGCCATGTAAAGCAATGCCATTTGATATTCCAGCCATGGCGTGTTCACGAACTCCATAATGGATGTTTCGACCACAAGGTGAATTTGGCTGAGAGAAGTCCACTGATCATGAGATGGACCTTATTAGAGCTTGCAAGGTCTGCACTTCCACCATCAATCCTGGAAGAACTTTAGCAAGCTGGTTCAAGCACTTCTCAGAGTACCCTCGAGTGGCGTCAGTGGATCAGATGCAGACCATTTCGGTCAAATTTCCAATGTACAAAGATTTCTTAAGACTTGGAGCACATTTGTTGTTCTGAAAATACTTTGACAACTCTGTGCCTCTACAGAATAAAAACATAGATACTTTCTCAATTTCTATTCTAACAATTTCTAATTATCTCACATTATATACTACTAACTAAACTCGGAATTTAAATGCTGCAGTTCATTTCAGGATTTAGTCTGAACGAATAGAGAAGCAACAGGAACAAATAATAATAGTTAAACAAAACAAACATAAACAAGAATGTAATACGCGCGATTTACCCTGGTTCACCCAATGTAGGCTACGTCCACTGAGTCAATATTATTTGCAATTGCCTCACCTCTCTCGTTTACAATGAATGAATTGTTCTCACACCCATAACAAGAGAAAAGTATGTTTATATACTAGGTTTAAGGATTAACCTAGTTTTACAAGAATTCCTATTCCTAAGCCCAACCCAAAAAGGAATTAATAACTTAAAAGG